AGAGAGAGAGAGAGAGAGAGAGAGAGAGAAGAGGGGGAAACAAAAATATCAGAGGCGCCAAGTGTTTGAGAATTTGGGAATTTTGGGTATTTTTGTGGCTATTAGTGACGGCACAAAGATGCCCCTCGTAAAAAAAATAAAAAATAAAAAATAAAAATATATATTTTCATCGGGAGGGAAGAACCGTCGCAAAAAAGAGCCTTTCGTGGCGGCCATAGGTTTGTTGTCGCAAAAACCATTGAACATATGGTTCCTTATTTTTGAGATAGAAATTACTATCGCAATAAGTCACCATTGGTGACCATTGGTGAGAGTGAAATTTAGATGAAAATTTGAGGGTGGAAAATGTAATTTACCCTATATTTGTTTAGTAAATTTAGAATGATTTTGCTTTTGAATAATTCTTATCTAACTACACCCTTTTCTTCTTCACAAAATGCTTAAGAAAAACTAATCTTTTGTTAGCAAAAATCTGGTAAAACTTAGTGTCAACACTTTCTCATCAAATTGATTAATTAATTATAATAATGAGTTGTAAAGCATTATAATTACTTAATTTTCTAAACAAGTTTATTTTACATTTGTGTTTTTTTTTTCCTCTTTCTTTATTTTTGTTTTTATTTTTTGTTTACGTATAACAAAAGTAGGAATGGATGGTCGCTAAGCAATAGGGGCACTTGTAAGAAAGTGATATAGATAATAACTAACAAAATTATCTCAGAGGTTTGAAACCCTAACTTCTCATATGAGAATGTGCTACAAGAAATTGATTATGAAGTACTTAAAATTGTATTAACTTTCAAAAAAAAAAAATATTAAGAAATAATCTTGTTGTCATGTACCCGCCTAGTGACATACGGCACCTTATCGGAGAGGAGGAACAAAGTGACCTCATGATCATGCATTATTGAACAAGAAAACGTTTATGTGATATTCCAAAAAGATTTAATAATTAATATGATTTTTGCTGTATTTGTGACTTTTATGAGCATGTATGAAACCAATTGTCAATCCTAATTAACAACTATGGCTCCATTTCCATTTTTACTCAAGCTTTTTCAACATTAATAAAATGCATAAATGTGAATTTAAAATGCATAAATGTGAATTTAATTACATATGTAAATCACCTAAGTCCTAGGTCTGTCACATTTCAGACAATCGCCTCACCCACTGATCAGTTTCAACAAATTGGAAAGTTTCTTGTGCAACCCACGCCATACCTAATTTCTTTAAAAAAAATTTAATTACTGTTATATGCAATTTATTTTTATTTTTTTTATGTTGGAATTGTGAAATCTAATTAGTACGGTATGCTTATCATGTGCCCTTGCGGCAAATTGTACTAAGAATATTACATTAATTTATTGATAGAAAACCCTAGCATATAGATTGATCGCTTCATAGTAGTTGCGTTGTAAATTTGTGACTCTTCTCTTCTAACAATATAATGAAACTAGTATGAGCCATGAACGTAGGTAATCTAGTCAAATTATGTAAATTTGTTTTTCGTGTTTTTTTTTTGTTTGTTTCTTCTTCTTGCTATGGTTTGTGCTTAGTGATAAGAACATTAAATAAAAATCAGTTGATGGTATAGAACTTTCAAAATATAAAATAAAAAATAAAATAAAAATTATGCAAATTGACTGTTTCTCATCTCACGTACAAAATGGTTAGTGGACACCCATTATCCAGTTTGAATGAAAATGAGAGGCTTTTGTATTTTTTTTAATATTTAAAAACCAAAAAGATTTTGTCAAACAATAGTACACAAATGCTACATTAATTGAAGGGATGACTATTAAAGCCATCATCAACAAGAAGTCTTCATTTATTAATTTCTATTAGCAGCCAAATCAAGTTGTTGCAAAGATGGCCTCTCTTTGGCCAAGGGCACTATGTGCCTTGGCTTTACTTTTGCTAGCTACAAATTATGTGGCCGCTTTCCCTGATCCATACATTTATGCATCTCCACTGTCACCACCTTCTTCTTATGTATACAACTCTCCATCACCGTCGCCACCAAGTTACAAGCATGAGAGTCCTTACTATTACAAATCCCCAGAACCACCATCTCGAACCCTGCTACCTCCTTATGTTTACAAATCCCCACCACCACCTTCTCCGTCACCGCCTTCTCCTTATGTATACAAATCTCCACTATCACCTTCTCTGTCACCTCCTCCTCCTTACGTATATAAATCTCCACCACCACCATCTCCGTCTCCCCCACCTTATGTTTACAAGTCTCCACCACCACCATCTCCGTCACCTCCACCTCCATCTCCTTACATCTACAAATCCCCACCACCACCTTCTCCGTCACCTCCTCCTTATGTATACAAATTTCCACCACCACCATTTCCGTCTCCCCCACCTCCTTATGTGTCACACCCCAAATCCGGGCATGACCGGCCGTGGCCCACAGGGACTTAGCCCAAGGCACACGTAAGCCTAAACATGAACCCAAAACCAAAAAGGATAAATGTGATGATAGCCTAGAAATAAATAAATCAACACTCAATCCAGTGACATACCACAAGTGAAAAACAAGTCATAACCAACTTCCTAAAAATATATATTTACTAAATGGGACACAAACCGCCCACAAAATAAAATAATTCTAAATAAAACCCAACCACAATGTATGCACAAAACTCGACAAAGAAACCTAAAAAAAATTAAATAAATGCCCTAGAGGTCCATGCAATTGAGTCCCTGCTACGCCATGAGTCCACTCTAAGTCCTTCAACACCTGGAATTGGTAAACAACTAAGTCAGCTGATAGCTCAGTGAGTAGTAGCATGGATAGTAAACACAGTTTTGAAAACAGGGTTAAATTCCAAAATAAGATATATATCACAGAAACTAGATTGGCATACAGTTTGGTAAATACAATCTGTTTCAAAAAGAAGGTTCCACAGTTCAACACTTAAATACTCATGTCTCGCAAGAACATGATAAATGATATTTTCCACTTAAAACAGATTATAACATGAACACCAATAATTTTCTGGGTATCAAGAAAAACAAATAATATGCCACACATTTCTCAGGCTATAAGCCCCGTTGGATCCAATACTGAACTAAGAGTCATCCTCAGGGTGGCACCTGGGCCTTTTCTCAAAGACGATCCGAATGAAGGCCACCTAGCTTTCTTTTAAGGTCTTTTCCTTACAATCGTTGAGCACTAGAGTCATCACGGGCCAACCCGGATCTGTTCCCTAGTGGCCAGAGTCACCACACACAGTGGAATAATTTCCCTAGACTAAATACACACATGGTCCCAATAATCAATACACATCAGTTTTCGCAAAACATGGTGGTTCATCATTATAAACATTAGACCAAAACAAATAGTTTACAGTATGCCAAGTTCACACATGTTTCAGAAATAATTTGATTCATTTGATAATATAATAATTTATCAAAACAGTTTAATCATGAAACAACAATTTAATTTTTCCAACAGTTCAGGGTAGGGGAACATTTATAAAAATATGTAGCATGAAACTACTCACCTGAAAACGAAATAATATAATCCTCGAATAAAGTATGAACGTCCAACTAGTGCCCTAAACCAATATGAAAATTATACGTCACTACTAATTTAAAAATACTAAAGAATAATAAACTAAGTAACCCCAAACTAAAGCGCGCTAACACGGCTCAACCCAACTCACCGTCACTCTTTAAATATTACCTAAGTTCATGTTCTTCACGGTCTAAAATCACCCAAGACATGAGTTCAAATCGAAACTTAATTAATTGTGACTTTAAGATAAAACAGAATTTCAAACAAGTTTTCCCAACCTATTCGCTAACTTTGAAAATTACAAAACCCACTCCACGCCATTCGAAAAATTCCAATAACCTCCAGATATGATCTAATGTATCCTGAGTTTCAAACCCAATTGGTTTCACTTGATTTTCTTATCAAAATAATTATCTACAATTTATTATATCCAAACAGGTTGTTTTCTGCAGCACTTTAAAGAAATTGACGGTTCTCTTAATATACACAAGAAATCAATGCAAGGCCAAAAACGTATGAAACTAGACTTGTAACTGGTTCTAATGACACTAATTTGATAATTTTTGGATTTATACCCAAAGAGAACAACACTCCCGAATTTACTGTTTCGGACTGGTTTCCTGGACAGATTTGAATACCTCAATTTATATGGATTTCGACTCCCAAAAATTATATAAAAAATCAGATATGCAATTCAATATGTAATTAATCTACTGTAAAAATTTCATATTAAAATTCATTCGTTTGATATGGTTTCTTGATTTTTAAAGTTTGCTGGCAGATTAATATTCTTAGGAGCAACATTATGAATTCGATTAAAATTTCTAGAATACTCTCCCCATCAGCCAATCCATTCCTTTTTCTTCCACCAACTCACAACACCCACAAGCACCATAACTATGTAAACAATAATCTATAATAGAACAAGAATAAATACCTTAGAGTTGTTCAACCACAAAGTTGGTGAAAACTTCTCTCTCTCTCTTTTTCTCTCTCTCTCTCTCTCTCTCTCTCTCTCTCGTGGCTGCTGCTATACTCTCATGGCTGCTGCTATATGTTGAAGGTGTAGTGCAAAGCAATTATAATTAAGGGTTAGGGTTTTTGTTAGGAAAATTAGGGTTGCTCTATATATATCTAAACAAAACACTAAATAATTATCTAAATAAAAGGTTTTAAATTATTATCTCTTTATATTATTTTATTTTCTAACCCATTAATTTAAATAAAATATAACTATTAATATAACAAAATATACTTACAAACTTACCCTCTATTTTTTTTTAAATAATAAATCTTGCCTCTAAATTAAATACTTTCCCCATAAATTTATTTTAGGTTTAAAAATTAATTAAAAGACCTTCCAAATATTTAATTTGCACTTTTGGATTCACCACCAAAATATTTGAGATTGTAATATTATTATTATTTAATTATTTATTTTATTTGTATATTCGGGTTCTCACATTATGTCTACAAATCCCCACCACCACCATCTCCGTCTCCACCACCTCCTTATGTCTACAAGTCTCCACCACCACCATCTCCATCACCACCACCTCCTCATGTCTACAAGTCTCCACTCCCACCATTTCCCTCACCTCCACCTCCTTATGTATACAAATCTCCACCCAAACCATCTCTATCACCCCTACCTCATTATGTCTATAAATCCCCACCACCACCTTCTCCATTACCTCCATCTCCTTATGTATACAAGTCTCCACCCCCACCATCTCCATCACCTCCACCTCCTTATGCATACAAATCTCCACCACCACCATCTCCGTCTCCCCCACCTTCTTAAGTCTACAAGTCTCCACCACCACCATCTCCATCACCCCTGCCTCCATCACCCCCACCTCCTTATGTCTACAAATCACCACCACTGCCTTCTCCATCACCTCCACCACCTTATGTCTACAAGTCACCGCCCCGACCTTCTCCATCACCTCCACCTCCTTATGTCTATAAATCCCTACCACCACCTTCTCCATCACCTCCACCTCCTTACGTATACAAGTCTCCACCCTCACCATCTTCATCACCTCCACCTCTTTATGTCTATAAATCCTCACCGCCACCTTCTCCATCACCTCCACCTCCTTACGTATACAAGTCTCCACCTCCACCATCTCCATCACCTCCACCACCTTATGTATACAAATCTCCACCACCACCATCTCCATCTCCCCCACCTCCATATGTCTACAAGTCTTCACCACCACTATCCCCATCACCTCCACCACCTTATGTCTACAAGTCTCCACCCCCACCATCTTCATCACCTCCACCTCCTTATGTATACAAATCTCCACCACCACCATCTTTGTCTCCCCCACCTCCTTACGTCTAAAAGTCTCCACCACTACTGTCTCTATCACCTCCTCCTCCATATGTGTACAAGTCCCCACCTCCTCCATCTTCATCACCCCCTCCTCCATATGTGTACAAGTCACGACCACCACCTTCACCTTCACCACCTCCACCCTATTACTCCAAGTCTCCATCACCTCCATCTCCTTCACCTCCACCCCCTACATCTACAAATCTTCTCCCCCACCATCACTCTCACCTCTCCCTGCATCTCCATCACCCCCGCCACCATATTACTTCAAATCACCATCATCACCACCGCCTCCTCATGTATACTCCACCTCCACACAATGTTTACTAAAGAAATTACGACAAGGTCACTCCAATTTGGCTTTGCAGGTCATAGATTAATGAAAATGGTAATAATTGTTGCAAGAAGGATTCTTTCTTGGTGGATTGATGGTCATTTTAGGTCAAACAAGATGGCTGGTAGGAGAATAAAGGGGGTTCAAGTATTCATTATGCTTTAAACTTCACTTCTGTGAAGATTTCATTCTACAATCATGTCTTTAAATATGTTTTATTTATTTTCTTATTATATGTTCAATCAACATCTCTCTAGATGTTGATAAATTTGAAATAATAAAAGCAAATTTATGCACAAAAATGTTTTATTCATTCTTATTCTGTCTTTAAACACTACAACAATTTACACTTTTGGCGACCAAATTTGGTGACTAAAAGGGATTTAGTTGCCAAAAGTTCAATTTTTGCCTACTAAAAATTATTTTGGTCACCGTTGGTTCAAGTTTTTGCTACTAAAATATTTAGTCGACGTATATTATTTATTGGCGACTAAAAAAAACATTAGTCGGTAAATTTTTCACAATAGGCGACTAAAAAAATTATTAGTCGCCGAAGGACAGTCGGTGCTCTGCTCCACTCCATGTTCTCTGTTTCGTATTTTTTTTTTTGGTCACTGTCAACACGACTACAAAATGCACTCTACTTCTTGCACTACAGGTGATCTAGACTCGGGCCGGGCCGGTGGACCTGTTACGCCCCACATTTTATTACTCATAATCCATTACCAAATTCATTAAGTTTATTCAATTTCAGAGATAACATACAGAAACTCTTTACATTAACTAGTAAGAATAAATAAAGGCTTTCTCATCTGAATGCAAATTAAATATAACATGAGCATAACTAAATAAATTGCCCGTAGACTTACATCTTTAACAGTAAAAGAAAGGGTTTAACCCTTTTACATCAATGGCATTCCGCCCACAAATAAAAGGCCCCGTGGCCAACATATAAAGAAGATCCTCAATCATGAAACACTTCTCGATGTTCACTTGAAAAAGGATTAGCAACATGGGATGAACATAAAGTCTACTAGGGATCTCAACATGATCCTAAACAATAGCAACTTACAGATAGCTATGATCATGAATGCTTAGTATCATACTGTATAAATAATGTGACGGTTTATACAGAAATATACGTATATAAGAACTTTTCTCAAAATCGTTCATTTCATTCAATAACATAAACAATTCACTTTTCTTTCTTCTTGTTACCTTTTTCCAAAAATTCATATGATTATAACAAATTTCTGAAGAAAACAATTTTACCAAGCCTATTATATTTTCTCTCACTTTCCAGACTTACACCTGATTGGCCTTTTCAAAACATGTCCACATGTATTCAAAGTCTTTCACATTTTTCACAATCTCAACACGATACTTACATCCGTTTCTAACACATTCATAACTATACAAATATGCCTTTAATACAACAGGAAAACAACAAGCAATCAATGACTATCTGCTTTAACAATTGAGGCAATACAGCCTTCCAGAACAATAACCACCATAACCCATGATATACCCAGATACACTAAGACAATAATAATAAATGAATTCTGTTCTACCTACCTTAAGCATGGTAAGCCAAGGATACACCTTTAGTCAATTTAGTCTTACTTCATTTTATGACAACTCATTTCAAATTAATTTATTTCATCTCAATTCATGAGCCAATTCATTACATTTTAGACACTCAACTGAGGCTACAACTCAGGGGTTCTCAATCAACATAATTATTACACAAACACTTCAATTTTGCCATTTTACGGAATTCTCATCCGAGGGAACCGACACCTATATATATATATATATAAGATTTTGGGACTTTCACCCTAGACACTCCGGCCAACTTAATTTTCAATGGAGTCCATCCTCTATCTCCTCCCAAAGAATGGAGTACATCCCTTATCTCCTCCCAAAAGATCATACATATACAATGTATTTAAAAGCGTGTCATATACAATGACTACCAAAATTCACACATTCAACAATTTAATCAAACCATCATATTCAATGACAACCAATGAAGGATTTATTTCAATACTCCTAGTCCACATGCAATTTCTACAACAGTCATAGCTATCCTCCACCGATAGCCCAAAACATATATTTCTAAACATATATATATATAGTCTCCAAAATAGATAAACTGTCCATATTTTCATAAGTGAGAGATTACAAATATCCAACTCCACCATTTTCTAAGAATTCATTCTCGTCATTTTACAAAATCAAAACCAAATCCATCCTTTTTATTTTACAAAACCAATTCCATTGGTATCAAAACCATAACTCAACTCAACTCAACTCAACTTCACGTGATTAGTCTAAAGCAAAACAAACACCGTGGGTACTTCTCCTTTTATTTTCTTTTGATATAAACATAATCATACGACCCATATTAGCAAAATATATAAGGATTATTCAACTTCCTCCCTTTTAAAAATCCATTATATTAATAACATTAAATTAGGGCTTTCCTCCCTCTCTACACCAACATAATAAATCATTTTCTCAAATAACCCAACAACAAACAACTTTAAAACTCCAATCACAAATTATCAAATCCTAGGTCCTCTTTTAACAATTAACAAATTATCAATTTGTTATATTTAAATATAATCAACCTAACACAATTTAATGCTCATATCATAAGACCCAAATTAATCTAAACAACAACCAAGTTCACAAAATTTCGACCTCAACACCAAATCTTAGATCCTCTATCATGATTTTCGAAAAAATCCATAACAACCTGGTTTTTATGCAATAAAAACTTACCACATGTCTATCTATAAAAGTGGTATTGAAAAAGATCAAAGAAATCCCTACCTTTTGAAGCGAAGAGAAAACAACCCAAAAACCATCGGCGACGAAACCACGAACCACTCAGACCAAAAGGAAGCCCTTGAAGAGATCTAAAATCTTTCTCAAAGGACCATGGTGAAAAGATCACTCTAGGTGAGTAGATCTAGAGATCTTTGAGCAAAAAGTGATTTTGGAGAAGAAGGGAGTGACTTACGGTTTGGAGAGGGGAGAAGAGAAGAAAAAGTAAAGAAAAGGTTAAGTGAGGGACCTATTTATAGTGCTAGGTCAAAGTAAAATAAAGTCTCAAAGTCAACCTAAAAGATCAAGTCAAAATCCCCAAAAAGTAGGGCTCAAACCAGACTGAAAAGTCTGAAAAAAACACGCAGGTGTTGACCCCTGCAACACAGGTGTCGACCCCTAAGAAGAAAGCTGGAACACTTTGTTTGACAGCAACACAGGTGTCAACCCCCCCTCCCCCCAAACCCCCCAGGCTGGTGTCGACACCAAAAAGCAGTGGGCAAATTCTGGACAAGGGTCGACCCTTGCCACACTGGCGTTGACCCTTGTGGCCAACAACAAAAGGAAGGTGTCGACCCCAGAGCAAGATTTTTAAGTTCCCAAACAACATTTCACCGTAAACAAGCATGAACGAACAATCCCAATAAGTTTAAATCAATTTTCACTCAACGAAAACCAAGATAGAACAACACCAAAGATTTCCAAAACATAATAAATTATTCAAATATACTTCCCAAAAGTTTAAAATGGGTACAAGTGCTATAGGGCCCATCATGTTTGGTAAATTTGTACTTTTAAGAGAGTTTTTTTTTATTATTTACTTTTAGAAATTACAACATCAAGCCAACTTCATCAAAACATTACAAATTCGTGAAATGTTTATGATTTTAATAATTAAAATTTATAATTTTATCATTAATTTGAAGAAAAAAAAATCATCTTTCAATTGATATGTTATTTTGCTCTCTTTTTTTTGAGTCAATTTGAAGAGACCTTAAAGTAGAAATGGCACAAATTATGTTTGAAATGGATTTGTAATGGCTCATTCCCAATGCAGAGTAAATGAAGAGATGGCATGGGCGGGTGAGAGACAAGTTAATTTTATATATTGAAAAATAATAATATCAGTAAAAATTATAGATAATATGGTATATTATTGATAATAATTTATATTTAATGACAATGATCATATATAAATTAAAAAACAAATGAGTAAAAATTAATATTAAGTAAAATATTTTAGTATTTTAATTTTATTATAATAAAAAAATTAAATATAATCGGGATGGGGTCGAGTATGACGGGGTGGGAGAAACAAAATCGGTCCCCGTTCCACTTCTTCAAAAGGAGAAAACCTGTGTGAAACTATTTGCACCTGTAACAGCGCCCGCGGAGGGGGACCTCGTGCTACTACAGTTCGGACTCGCGATTTTTGTTGTCGCGGTTCTTAATCTGAACCAAAGAGTCCAAATCTGGCAAATCGTTTTGAGAAACAGATTTTTGAAAAAGTAGTGCCAAACATGGACTGCTTTGCCAGATACAGAGTCGCCACCTAAATATTTTAAAATGGGGGAATTTAGGAAACCCTGACTCAGTGCCGAAGGCCACATGTCCGTCATCTTGAATGAACTTCCATTTTTAATTTTGTGGAACTTCCATTTTTATTTTTATTCAGCTTACATTTTTATTCAAGTTATTTTTCTACTCAGCTTCCTTTTTTATTTAATTTCCAAATAGATCGTTAAGGTATAGTGGTTTGTTGAATGAACTTCCATTTTTAATTTTCTGCAACTTTCATTTTTATTTTTATTTAGCTTCCTTTTTTATTCAAGTTTCTTTTCTA